CATTCACACGTCAGATTTTTGACAGCTCCGGAACGAAGCGTGAAGCAAGTACAGACGTTGATCTTTTTGCAGCTGATGCCGCACAGGTAGCTGGGGCTGGCCTGCTAAGGAGGTGCAGTTGTTCCAGTTGGTGCTTTTGGCCTTTCAAAAGGCCTTTAACGAGAGATCTGGGCAGCGCAGAAGCCGTAATTTTGACCGCACCCCCTGCTACCCGTGGTTTTAAAGCTGGGCTGCTGTTTGCTTTTCAAACTGACTTTTTTTCCACATTTGCTCCGGAAAGAAAGTTGCGTACAAAGAACGTGATAAATGCAGGACGCGTAAAGTCCTGTCGAATATTCCAGGTAAATGCGCTGGAAAATAGAAATTCCTCAGGCTGTCTGCAGCCACTGCTGCAGGTAATGAGAGATAAATATTCAGCCGAGCGCGTGGTAGGTTTTTTAGCACACAAATAGCTCTTTAAGGGGTACATCCACTACTACATCTCCTTTGTTTTCCATCCCCCCAACCCTCACGCGGAGGCTCGGCACGAGCTGTCAGGGCTGTCCGGTCAAACCTCTCCCTTACGCAGAGTGCGACATCCCCCGTGCCTGCTCTGCTCCCCTCCCGAACAGCCTCGACCTCATCCCCACGCTCCAGCCCCCCAGTTGCTGGGCTGAACTGGGAAACCCGCCTGCCTCGGTTAACGCTCCGCAGCAACCAACCACAACCGCTGCCTCCTCTCCTCGCCCCTTCTCTCTTGTTTACATTCAGGTACACTGGACTCTTGGGGGAAAAAAAAAATAGAGAAAGCATCATATTGATGTTTCTATGGATAGTGTTAAATCTCTTCTCTGGCCAGCAAGTCCTGCCCAAGGCGATAGGACTTCTGTAGGCGTCACTGCACTGCAATTTGGGTTTGTCTCTGGAGTACAGTTTGGTTTTGGAGTAGAGTAAGATTGTATTCCCTTCAACAGGAGGCAGTACTGTCGCTTGTCAGCAGGCCGTACCTGTTGTACTGGCGCTGACCAGAACAGCACCCGAGCAAGGAACGTTGACTTCCTGCAACAAACCAGAATTGGGATTCAGCGAAATCTAAACTGTAGTTTCTTAGCTCTGTGTGCTGGTGTGGAGTGAAAAGCACAACTTGGGGTTACCACGCCCAAAGCGTAATGTCTGTGACATAATATGAATGTAAAGCATCAGGGAGAAAAAAAAAACAAACAACCTTCACCTTTTCTTCCCCGTAGGTAGACAGAGAGCATGACATGCAAAGGTGTCTTCAGGGACACGCTGCCTCCCACACGGTCGTTCCGCCAGCAGAGCAGAGTCCCTGTCGGCAGTGCTGGCTCAGTCACGGAGGGACTGTCACGGAGGGACTGTCGACCGTGTTTATTAACCCAGAATTAACTCAAGGAGTCTTGTTCTTATTTCAGTGACTCGCGTGGTACAAACTTTTGCGATTGATCCATGATACTTGAAAATACCTTGATTTAACTGATAGCTTTTCAATTCTATCAGCTTCTGTTTTGGTACAGAACACTTGCAAAAATAAACTCATTTTGAAACTCTCAGTTAAAGCATTTGCTCGGCAGGGACGGGCATTGCCAGGCTGTGGCATCACCACGTGCTCCAGCTGCTTAACGCTGGATTTCCTTTTCTGGTAACTACCGCTGAGCTCATGCCCGCCGTCACGCAGTTTTATTTGTGTTCTCCTTTTTTTTGTCTCCCTTTGAGCACCTTTCCTCTTCCTCCTGAGTGTAAGGTTAAAGTTTGATCAGTTCTCAGCTCTTTGTGCCGGTTTTTGGGGTACTGTGCAGGGGAGTAGGTGTCATCTTAAGCAGTTGGTCACAGATTTTATTTGTAACTGATCTTAATGTTTGTCAGGTATTGGTTTGTGGTGCTCATCGTTCGGGCTCAGCTTGCTCTGAGCAGTGGGCTCCAACTTCCCGCATTCCTTTTTTCCTCTTTCCTAAAAATCTTATTTCTTCATTTTCTAGCTTCAGGGTGGAAGGTAGATCATGTAAAATAAAATGTAAGTTTACATTTCAAATACGAGCCTGTAAGTTACGCTTTCATGCTGCTTAAAACATTTTCTGTATGAGGTTTGGTGATGGTACAGCAGCGTTTGTGACACTGGTGGGCAACAGCCACTGTTTAAAAAAGAAAAGAGTTCTGCTGAGGGGGAAAAAACCCACTCAGAAAAAAAAAAACAAAACCAAACAACAAAAAGGGCAAAGGGATCATCTTGGCTTCTTAAACCAATTGTGCTTAAGAGGCAATGGTGCTTGCGTCAACTGCTGGTACCGGGCAGCTCACACAGCAGACGGTGTCGTACCCG